CCTATATCATCGAACATCGCACGTTGAGGCAGTCGGTCGTGGGACATACGTAACACGTGTCCCAGCCATCTCAACTGATGAAGTTTCACTACGTCATCAAGTGATTTGCCATCCTTACCTAGTACCCGTTTCCTAACAACTGCGTTACTTACTCGATGGTCCCAGGATATACGAGCAATGTTTCGAAGACACCTATGATCAAATACTAGTAACCTACGGATATCCTCTACTCTTACCGGCCATGTTTCACTGCCATAAAGAAGGACGGAACGAACTGCTGCGCAGTAAACACGTCCTTTGGTTGATAGACGGATATCTCGCCTACGCCATAAATGACGCAAGTTGGCAAAAGCTAGTCGAGCCTTCTGTATCCGTGCTGAGATTTCGTCACACACCAGACCACAAGGGCTGATGAGACTTCCAAGATAAGTGAAGCGGTCGACACACTCAACTACTTCACTCCCTATCATTAGTTCGGGTGTCGAAGCAACCCAATCCTGAAGCAACATTTTGCGTTTCGAGGGGGAGAATCGCATCCCGAACATGCTTGCATTGTTGCTTAGAGTGGTCAGAAGACTCTGCATTTTGTCAGCGTCTTCACCAAATAGAACTATGTCATCGGCATATTCTAAGTCAAAAAGTGAATCTCCCGGTAGAAGTTCAACCCCTGGAAATCTAGACGAGGAAATTGTTATCTCTAAAAGTACGTCAATGACAAAGTTGAACAAGAATTGAGAGAGTGGACAGCCCTGACGAACACCACTTGAGGTGATCGATTCTGATGACAGTTCGCCATAAGCTCTCACTCTACCAGTTGTGTTCGAGTAGAGAGCCTTTATAAGGTTAATGTACTTCTTTGGTACTCCTTTCAGTGACAAACACTGCCATAGAACCTTACGATCGACAGAGTCGAATGCCGCCTTAAGATCGAGAAATACCACCATTGTAGGGCGTCTGAATGTGTGTCTGTGTTCTAGAACCTGACGTAGTGTGAATATCTGATCTATACAACCACGTCCAGGTCGAAAACCAGCCTGGTTTTCTCTAGTCTGCTCTTCACGAGCTTTGGTTTGACGTCGAAGTATTATTGAAGCTAATATTTTAGACACTATATTTGTCAAACTGATTCTCCTGTGGTTGTCACAAGAGGACTTTTGTCCTTTCTTATAGACTGGCACAATCAGTGATTGAGACCAGTCAGATGGAATTACGTCTAGTTCCCAAATTCTGCCTAAGACCTCAGTTAACCTCACTGCTAATACTGAACCACCATCCTTAAAAATCTCAGGAGTAATCCTGTCAGGGCCTGCTGCTCTTCCTCGCTTCAGATTTCCTATGGCTTTTTCAACTTCGTAAAGAGACGGAGGACCTACATTAACTTGCCATTCCGGTTGACTGGAGATCGTGGGAAACCGAAGTGTGGCTGAAAGCCAGTTGAACTGATGCCTGAAGTGTTCTGCCCATCGATCCAATCTCCTGGATTGAGAATGAATAATGTGTCCATCTTTCTCTGAGACTGTTTCGCTAACAGTCGGGTTCCTAATACCGGTTTCCTTAACAAGTCTGAACAGTTGTCTGCTATTACCTATTGCCGCTGCCTTTTCCGTCTCTCTTGCTTTCGCTACCCACCACTGTTCACGATAATTGCGTAGACTTCTTGTCAGCTTGCGCTTAAGCTGACTCCGCTCTTCATTGTGTTCAGAGCCAGGTGGAATGAGTTTCCGAGCATCTATCAGTGCGATAGATGCTGCTGAGATCCAGCGTTGCTCCCTAACCTTCTGGTTTACCTTACTAGCAGATATCACTGCTGTTTCCACAGCTTTTCGTATATCATTCCATGCTCCCTCGGAATGGGTATCACATACATGGCTGCCTAACTGTTTTCCTAGTTGTTCCTGAAATATACTGTTAGCTTGATTATCATTAAGTAGGCCCCTAAGAGGTTTCCTTGCAGCGTCTTTCCTACGTCCAGTAAGACGCAGACAGATACGCGCTCGTACTAGAGCATGATCTGGATCTAAGAATGTGATCCAGAATGAGCAAGTCTTCTATCGAGCCCCTCCATCGGTGGCTGATAGCGATGTGATCTATTTGGGTTCAACGTTGGGACGAATTAGGGGGTCGCCATGTTAAAAGATGTTTTTCCTTATGCTCAAAGTTAGTATTTGCAAGAAAGGGGAGTTTATCTAAGCATAGTTGCAACAGACGGTCGCCATTATCTGTTCTTTGAGCCACGACACCATAAGATCCACCTAGGTGTCTTTCCCTTTCGCTTAGTTTACCTACTTGAGCATTAAAGTCACCGGCCACTATTACTACATCCGAGCGCCTGGCTTTTCGGAGAAGGTCGGAGAGCTTTCTGTAAAACTCATCTTCTGCATCATCTGCAATGCAGTCAGTGGGAGAATAGGCAGAGACGACGAAGAGGCAACGACGAGTGTCCCTATCTTTTCTGAGTCCTTATTGTTCCGTTCAGTCGGACAGCGCACAAACGACTGTCTACTGGGATCCACTCTAAGAGAGCTGGTTCTGCCCTAGGATTTAATGCTATACCTGCGCCAGCGGGGCCACGAGAAGCAGCATCAGGGCTTCCAGATACACGAAGTGTGAATCGAGTTGCTTCTTTATTTTGGCATGGTGAGGTAAAGTGAATGACGCTACTCGGATCCTGTATGCGCGTTTCGGAGACTCAGCACACATCGATGGCGCGGGATTCTGAAGTCTTAGCTAAGGAAGCCTGTTGTCCTATTTGGCACAATGTTCGGACGTTAAAAGCTCCTATGTGTAGTTTAGAGCGTGGTTTCAGGAGACCAGGAATAAAGTTCCACGTACTCGAATCGTCTTCCCTAGCGGTGCGAGGTGATAAAGAGACGTGAGAAGGGTTAGTCATGGAGATAAGAGAGGTATTAGGAGGTGTAGGAAGGATTTGAATGTGACCAACTTGGTCTCGTGTGCTGTTACGGGTATGAGGGCTGGTGTCACTTCCCGGCTGCCCACACCGTGGAAGGGTATTTCTTGAGGAGCCTGAAAGGGAAATTGGATTAGTGTTGGTCTTGACGACCTGGGAGCGTGACCGCAGAGCCCAGCGGACAACTGCTTGAGGCCGGTCGCGCACGGCCTTTTCGTGGAAGGTTTTTAATGTGTTAGCTCCGTTCTTCAAAGGGCCTTACCGCCTGAGACGGAAATCCGTGAGGCAAGGTGTGACATTTTTAGGGTCGAGCTTTTCTAACCCCACCCCTCCTTGTGGGAAGGCAGCATCGCTTCAGATGCTGGTTGTCCGAGGGAAACACCTTATTGCTGTCACACCCCTCTACAGTCAGCAGTACGACTTCACCCTCAGACCTTGAGTTGCTGCTTTTAGTCTTTCCGTTCTCCAATCGACCTGCCTGGTATGGTAGAACCTACAGGAATATATGTTCCAGCCATTATAACTCGGTTGGGTTATCACGATAGGCAAGCTCGGCCACTGCGTCAAGGTAGCAGCTTCGGTCAAGTCCAATGGCTGACAATAGGTGTGACACATGCTAAAGAGTGAATCGGTTCGATTACATTTTTCGCACACAAATCGTCTAATGTCTTATGTACTGCTTCTCGAAGCCCATGAGGAATTGTTCGTCTTTTAAGAAGGGCTTGACCACCCTGCACTACAAGTTCTATAGCCGGAATATAAAAAGTGAAGATAAAATTTGGGAGTGTCCAAATTTAATGTTATCAATAGTTAATGGACGGATGGCGAAGTAGAGACAAGCAAGTAGAAGAAACTGCATTTAATCACCTTTTGTCAAGCCGCCTTTAAAGGTAATGATATTGGATGAAAAATCAACGGAAGACTAAAAACTGCATTAACCAGAACCTACCCTGATGTCAAACGAGTAATTCCAACTAAAAAACACGTTCACTGATCTAACCATAAATCGACAAATACTCCCATTATTCTACACCATTATTGTGCAATAACCCACCGGTGAGTGAGATGGCCCTATCTCGATGTCTGTGAACATACTCTAAGTAGTTAAGCTGTGCTGTAAACATAACAAATTACAGTTAAATACAATATCGATCGTAAGCATCACAATCACCGGCGGATATATACTATATTCATCAGATCATCGTCAATGTTGCCTACATGGTGAACGATGTTAAGTGGAAGACAGTTAAGGACCATCGTAATCCCCATACCCACACTACCATCTACGTTAGTCATCATAGCCAAACCCACACCTCATGTTAGTGTGCAACATGGAGAAGAAACGGTACTCTCAGTCCCTTACTGATTTATAGATAGTGTCGGTAATCAAGAAGGCCTAGTTCGATAACTAACATGTGATTATCGCGAACCGACTTGGCAAAAAACCATGCACACAGTTAACGCAAAGTTCCACTAATTCTTATTCAAGTCTTCATTGAAGCACATTACAAACGACCCTAATACGTTTTCATTTATCAACATTAAGTGTGTCAATATGTGGCTTCACCAATCGCAACAGATTTTGGTGACTATGTACATCGCTGCTTCTTTTGTCTCCTGTCATACCAACACATCTACTTTGACTTCAATGAATTATCTTCCAATGACTAAGTTATGTTATTTTCCATTTACGTACAAATCTATTACAACATTCCATTATTTTCATTACAGATGTTCACTATCAAATTGGAGTAATTTGTTCAACCTACTGATCATAATTTAAGGTTCGGTTTTATTGACTTCTTATGGAAATCTAGTTAATTAGCATGAATGACTGCAACTGCAATCCCGTCAGAATTGTGTTAGCTAATATCTACACTTCATACATTAATTAGTGCATCGTATGGAGTAACTCCTAATTTTTCAAGGACTGTTGTCTTGTGATAAAAACTGTGTCTAAATATATTCTAATGACAGTCATGCCAATCGAATGTGGTGTGAAAATGAAAACGTCTAACGCAGCAAAAATAATATACTCATTTCTTGAACAAAAAAGGTGTATAAATATATACATGATTCTATATGAATTCATTCAGTCTGTATTTTTGAGAGTTTTCAAAATATGCTCAGACATTGATATAACAGCAAACCATGAAACATATTGTCCAAAATGACGCCAAATTGACACAAATTTTAATAGGACAACATTGAAATTATCCTGAACAGTAGTATTCACTTGAAAGTAATGTGAAGTGCTAGGTAATATAATTTTCACTAAATATTTCCGAATGCTTAAATCACGTTCAATTTGATTGATTAGTCCATTTATTTCAATGTTCAATACTTCGTATAAGTAAGTTCCACTTAAATTTCGTTGTTGTGTTTGTTGTTTTAATGATGTTGATGGATGTGAGCGAGTAGAATTTAAAGTGGACAAACTGTTACCATCTAGTGTAGAACCACTTTTTATCTTGACGGATGAGTCTAATGTCGACTGGCATGTGGCATACTGCTGGTAAATTGATTCATTTTGACTTAGACTTCTCAAAGCATTCAATTGATCTAGCTAAAAAATTTCAACAAGAATTCATTAATCAAACAAATCAGCAGTGAATAAATATCGATAAATTACCATACACATAATAAAACGATGAATTATTATCACTATTTTACAACTAGACAATGATGGAAATAACTTACGGCGCCAATCCAACACCAGTTCAGAGTGCGACTTTTAGGATTTTCGCGTGAGTTTTAAAACGCGTTGACGGGTAACCTGTGCATTATTAAAAACAAAGTATCCTCTTACTCTAACCATACTCCTAACGCTAAAAAATTATAGATTATAAACCTAGCTATTTCATGTTTACTGTAATAAATCATTCAATATGTAAAGGTTCATAAATCATGTGATAACTACTTATTGACTTCCGTTTCAAAAGTTATTGAACAGAAATTGTTTAATAAATGGGGACTGGCTTCTCGTTTTTTTGATACGTCATTCAAAATTGACGGTATAATTTAGATCTCCTGAAACATCATCTATTTGACCTATATATCACCACAAGTAGAACCATGCTTTGTAGAGTTTGACGTTTTAACAATTATTTGGTCAGTAGCTTCAGTAATGCAGAACGAACAAACCATTTTGTTTCGGGTAATAGACATGAGTTCATAGGTCAATAAACGGATATCCTATGTATCTTTTCTGTTATTGTATTGTGTATTGACAAATATTGATGAGTGTTTTCAAAAAGGCACAACAAAATAAGGGACAATAATGTATTAGTTTCATAGTTTAGTGTGGAATTTCGTTCATCACTCGTCCTAAAAACCGTTATTAGATAACTCCCAATGGCATACAAATTTCAGAAAACAATGCGAAGCGATGACTACAGCTTACGATTGCTAAGCACAGATCACAAAGCCACCACGCGCATAATGGGAATGCCAACGAGAGAGAACGAGTGTATGAATAGGCCAACATTTGAGCTAGTGAGAAGAATATATGTGTAAGCTTTAACGCAGGATTAAGCATACATGATAATAGACACATGGGGATAGTAGCAGAACGATGTAAGCAAATTGTTGACAAAATTCCTATTAGGAAACTGAAGTTCTTACTCTAGTTGTCGTAGTATGAAAGAGAAAAATAGAAGTCGTCTCGTTTGTCCTATTGAAGTTGGAGTTGAGAAACAGAACGAATATATCACTGAACAATGAATAATGTGAAACTTTTAAGTGGGACTGTAAAAAATGAGTCAGGAATGTGATGTTTTCGGGACATCCAATAGGTTGGAAAACGATTAACGGATTGTGATGTGGACCATATTGATAAATAAACGGGATAAACGCAATACTATGACGAAAAAAGCACTCAGAGAACAAAAACACTAACCACAGACTTTAGCTGTACGCCACAATCTTCCATATTTTTTATACATTCATTTAGTTTATCATAATAGGTTTCCAAAATTTGACCATCACGAAGTTTTGTCATTTGTTCTAAATTATCATTTAAATATAGATTGCACAATCCGTAAGTGACAAAATCATCATGATTCTCAAAGGATGATGAACCTGTGAGAAAATTTAAAATACGAAACAAAGCTTTGAAAACATACACCTTTAAAATTTATTAACCATTATTTAATAAGTAGTATGTCTCTTCCTGTGTAATTTTAATCTCATGATTCTTCGGAAAATTGGTCGGTTGGTAAGACTGGTTGGTAAGTCCAAATAACATAGAAGTAATTCATGGAGATTTACATCAATAAATTAGTTACTTTTCATACTAACATCAGAAACGAGAGAAAAAATATAAAAACCTCTTTTTTATTAACTATCCGCTATAATTTTTTCCTAATGAAGATAATGACTAGCCTTATATTTACAGTGTTGGAAAAACGATCAATTTAGTTGGGAGTTTCTTTTAAAGGTTGATATCATACTATATATATTTCAATAACAACCATTTATACGATCTACTTGGAGGCAGATTACGGGCAACTAAAATAATGTCCCCTATCTTCGTATATAATCATTGATTTAAATTGCGTTATTGAATAACGGAACCAAATAAGTCAAATACGAGAACGAATTTCGAATACGTATATTTACACACAATCTTTGATCCAGACAAAGTATCGGAGAAGTGAAGCGGAACGACGCGCAGTGGAGAAGGCTTGTGAGCCAACTCCCTTTAATTTAGTCAAGCATCAATCAATATTTATAGTCACACAAAAAAAAGTTACAGACATGTGATTATTAGGATAAGAAATGTACATACATATATGCGCTCATAAAAATCAGTCAAGATGGATAAGCGAATAATTAATAAGGTCAAAATATGACTCAAGTAGAATGAATAGATTGGCCTGTTCGAAAACTAGAATAAGGTACATGGCTTTAAAATAATAACCGACACCACAAGATATAAGTAGTATGTATCAAGAATTGGAGGTAGGATTCTTATTGACAGAAGAGGAAAATGAGAAAAAAGTAGAAGCATTTCGAGTAGCAGTAGTAATGAAAGAACGATGCAATTTGTAAGGGATAATTTAAATATGTACAAATAGTGCATTTAATGTAATGTTTTGATACTTTATAAATGCAGTATGTGATTTTGCTTAATACAGTAAACTGGATTAATCTAACCAAGTCTTCATTTGTTACACCACCAAACTGGATACTTAATCGATATGCTACACAGAGACTGTGCCATGTTATACAAGATACACAATTCACGAGTAAAAATAAAAGCCCAGATTATACTTACTTAATTACGCCTGTTACTCCTCGTGAAGGAGCATAGGCCGCTCACCAACATTCTGCATCCAACCCTGTCCTGGCCAGTCCTTTTCAGCTCCTTCCAGTTGTTATTCATCCTTTTCATATCTGCTTCTATTTCCCAACTTAATGTGTTCTTTGACCTTCTTTTCTGTTTCCCTTCAGGATTCCAGGTTAGGGCTTGCCTCATGATGTAGTTTGACGATTTGCGTAACGTAGGTCCTATCTATTTTCATCGTCTTTTCCTAATTTCTTCTTCAGCTGGAAGCTGATTTGTTCTCTCCCATTGAAGGCTGTTGCTGATGGTATCCGGCCAATGGACGTTGAGTATCTTGCGAAGACAGCTATTTATAAATACTTGTACCTTCTTGATGGTGGTTGTTGTAGTTCTCCAACTTTCAGCTCCATACAGTAGAACTGCCTTGACGTTCATATTGAAGATTCTCACTTTGATATTGGTTGAAAGTTATTTTGAGTTCCATATGTTCTTCAATTGTAGGAATGCGACCCTTGCTTTGCCAATCCTTGCCTTAACGTCTGCATCTGAGCCTCCTTGTTCATCGATTATGCTTCCCAGGTATTTGAAGGATTCTACATCTTCCAGAGTTTCTCGATCAAGAGTGATTGGGTTGATGTTCTCCGCCTCGAATTTGAGGACCTTGGTTTTCCCTTTGTGTATGCTGAGGCCCACTGATGCAGAAACCGCTGCTCGTGTTTGGCTGTTGTTTATTGCTGCCTTCTTGTTTTTCCTTTCTTTGATCTTGTCCAGTGTTTCTATAGAGATCCATTCTTTATGGTGGTGCTTCTTTAGACTCAGAACCTCTTGACACGTTGAAGTTAATGCTTCTTTGATGCCTTTCCAGTTGTCCTCCATAGTAGTTCCTTCTTCCTTCAGTAGATCCTGTAAGGCATAGAACCTGTTGTTGAGAGCTATCTCGAAATTCATTGAGTCTGTCAGTATCTCGAAGGAAGGCTGTATTGAACCTTTGTATTGCTGTTTGTCCAGTTGTCCAGTTCTTTTTTAGCTTCAGTTTCAAGTTGGCTACAACTAGGTGGTGATCTGAAGCCATGTCAGCACCTCTCCTGGTTCTCACATCTTCCATTGTCCTTCGGAATTGTTTATTGATGCAAATATGATCTATCTGGTTCTCTGTGGTGTAGTTCGGTGAGATCCATGTAGCTTTGTGTATACGTTTGTGTGGAGATATTGTGCCACCTATGACCAATTTGTTGAATGCACACAGATTTTCAAAATTTTCCCCATTTTTGTTTCTCTCTCCCAGTTAATGTCGTCCCATGATATCTTCATATCCGGTGTTGTCTCTCCCGACTTTGGCGTTTAGATCTCCCATCAGAATGATGAGGTCCTTTCTTGGGCATTTCTCTATTATTGATTGCAGAGTATAGGCTAGATGATATTTTACTCAACACACAAGCAGTCTACATTCAATAAGTAAAGAGTAAAAAGCAATGATAGAAAAGAAACCACATATTTAAGGAGTTAAAAATCTGTCTGTACATTCACATCCAGTAGCTAATCAAATCTTGCTTCACTGATTACTCATAAGTGTTGGTTATAAATGATTGATATATGGAGAATTATAGGTTACTTGCTGAGTATTATACCATTTTGAAATTCTCCGACATCCTAGTCAGGGCTCTATATGATCACATTGTCAACTTAAAAAGGCAAGATGTGTGGCTTTCGATTTTATTCAATCTAACTATGAGGCAAAGTATTGCCTTAATGTAGAACTAGTTACTCAGAACTTTTGCGATCAATGTAACGTCATGGAGGGATAAACGATGCCAACGTAAGTCACATCAATTTTACCGATAATTTTAAAACCTAAATATGACCTTAACTTAAGGATGAATCGGGAAGATATGACTGCCAAAACAAATGAACTCCTACGACGGATTCCGAGGAATATTGATGTGGATTGACGTAAACGAAGTCTCATGTCAAAACGGTCAGAATCTACTGGAAACATCTAAAACTTTTAAACTAAAGATTCTGATCAGGTTAGGACAAGAATACTTACGTGTAGTACAAGGCATGATTCAAAATGGAATAATTATGTGTTCAAACATACCTGATAAGATTTTACAAATATTTGAAGCCAGATTTGTGAAAACGATACATGACTGATGGAAATTTGTGCTCCATTTCTTTTTTAAAGGAAGAATTTTATTTAATAAATTTGTTAGGCGTTCATTTATTGAAAACGAGATCCTCGATTCCTAAGTGTTAAATTAAAAAAGAATAAACAACACATTGTTTTAGAAATTGACAGTTCTACGAAGTTAACAAATTTTATGCAGCTATTCTCTTAATGATACCTGTATTAATCAAAACGATAATCCAAACTGAAAAGTATTGAACGAGTGTTTAGTTCTAGAATGGGGCATTTTAGCAATACATACTAGTTCCTATAGAGATGGAAAATATGACAGAAAAATACCGAAAATAGAATTCTGTTTTGTCATTTGAATTTAATATACACACATGTCAAGTCAAAGTCGCTCATTAGCGATTTGATTTGTACACAGAAGTGTAAGCTTTGTGGTTGGGTTACGTAAGGCAAATAAAACCGGCAATTAGAGACTTATCTACTTTTTTCTTTAAACAGTGTATCATCTTATTTAAGCTTTAAATTTTTAGCTGACTTAAGTATTTTTTTTCTTCAGATCATTTCATTACCAAAATGAATTTAATGTTTTTTACTGCCCTAACTTGAGTGTGGAGTTATGCATGACGTATTTCAGCGACAACAGAAATTAGCATGTTGACTGAATAAGCATTGAAATTTTGGGAAAAGTATAGTGATTTAGTTATTCACCATTGCATACCTTAATATTATTTCCAGTGGGGTTCAGAACACATATTTTTTTTCCATTACAGAATTGTCAGTTAGATGTGCCTGGATATCAACGTATCGGCTTTCCAGACCAGACCTGAAATATACATCCAAAAATTTCATCATTATAGCATTTTATACTAAACCTCCTCCTACCCTTTAGGTTTTTGAACTTTCCTCTCTTTAAATGTACTCAAGATGATAAGTCACTTTGAAATGGCATAAGAAAGTGGCTCAATTATGTGTCAACACTTCAGGCTGTTGAAAGACCAAGTGGATATTTTTCTCCTACATACTTTAATTCATACTGTTGCATCTGGATAACCCTATTGAACATCCCATGTTATTGTTGAGCCGATTACATCATTGAGTAGTTACGATGCTACTTATCAATGAAGCTTTCCATAAGAATTAGAATCTTGACAACCTTTCTTCCCTTAGAGTGTTTGGATATCAAGTACACGGATCTGCACTATGCAGAATCAGCTTAAAAATTGAATGCTGGACAACTCTGGAAGAACTCTATCTATTATCATCTTAGAAAAAAGCTCAACATACGCCCTTAAACGAGGATGTAAAGGGATTAATATATCACATTAAGTGACAAAACATTTACTTAACACTGCCTTTAGAATCGACTACAAGGTCTCACCTGCTTTACAGATGAAATATTCCGATGATTTTGACAATGAATTGGAGTTGAGGTGATAAACTTGGAATGGTTGTTACGATATTTCCAACTCTTTACATCTTTTGATAAGGAGGCCACGAAAACACTTGAATTGCTTTTCTCTTCCATATACTCAAATTCTGAAGTCTAACTTTTGCGATGTCAAACCAATATATACAAAATATATTTAAACACAAGTTTATGGAAAATTTGAAACTGAAAACTAAATAAACGATCGAACAGGAGGAGTGTTCAAATTCATTTAGGCCAACTACTATTGTTTAGAGGAATATTTAATTTTATTTAAAATACCAGACTGTAGAAATTAACACGTAATATAATGGCGTCATGGAGACATGTAACTATACAGAGTCAAGTGTCTTTCCAATCAACTCGAAAGTTTGTAACATTTGGGAAGGAGCAAAGTAATGAAATTCAGCTACACTATATAGCATATACAATCAGTATTATGAACACCTTATTTTTGTGCTTCACTCTATAGAACGTACGGGAATGAATGTTATAACGCTCGCGATTTACTTCGTCTAATGTTATAACGGTTGGGTTTCCACGTACACGTATGGGACGTTGATTTACCTTAAACGATTATCTACACTAGACCCCTCCCAGTGTCTACTCTACAGGACGTCAACACAACTAAGATCAAGAACATGTAATTCACCTGACCACAACGTAAATATATTTGCACACCAAAACCCGTCACAATCCACAACAATGAACAAACAATAATAAGTGTGTTGCAATGATAAGAATAAAGGAATATATAACTCATCTGACACATGTCAGACTATCTACATGTCTGACTAAGCAGACAACCAATCATGATCAACCTCGACCACACATCACCTTCCTCGCGAAGTTTGGTTGTATGACTTCACTTTTGGGTCTATTTGAAAAGATCTCTTTTGTTTTCATTCCCTTGATGATCTTCGTTTAACTTCTGATTTCAGCCCATTTTTTCTCATTTCAACTTGTAGTGGCGATTGGATATTAAATATATCACATAATACTTCCATTGGTAAAACTTTGGGTTTAGATGACTCATAAACATTTTTTCTGTCTCGCAGTTGATTGATGTGTCTAATAATTAGTGTATTTTCGACCATCACTTCATACAGTACGGTCCTACGTCCTTTTTTAATACAGCCAAATATCCATCTTGGCTTGCCAGGCCGGAAATCACATGCATAGACTGAGTCATCTGCTTTGAATTCTCGAGTCTTCGGGCAACTTCATTCATTATTCTTTTATAGTCACTCATTCCGTCTTTCGGGATCAAAACATCAAAAAATGACCAACTAGAACATTTTTTGATGTTTTGATCCCGAAAGACGGAATGAGTGACTATAAAAGAATAATGAATGAAATTGCCCGAAGACTCGAGAATTCAAAGCAGATGACTCAGTCTATGCATGTGATTTCCGGCCTGGCAAGCCAAGATGGATATTTGGCTGTATTAAAAAAGGACGTAGGACCGTACTGTATGAAGTGATGGTCGAAAATACACCAATTATTAGACACATCAATCAACTGCGAGACAGAAAAAATGTTTATGAGTCATCTAAACCCAAAGTTTTACCAATGGAAGTATTATGTGATATATTTAATATCCAATCGCCACTACAAGTTGAAATGAGAAAAAATGGGCTGAAATCAGAAGTTAAACGAAGATCATCAAGGGAATGAAAACAAAAGAGATCTTTTCAAATAGACCCAAAAGTGAAGTCATACAACCAAACTTCGCGAGGAAGGTGATGTGTGGTCGAGGTTGATCATGATTGGTTGTCTGCTTAGTCAGACATGTAGATAGTCTGACATGTGTCAGATGAGTTATATATTCCTTTATTCTTATCATTGCAACACACTTATTATTGTTTGTTCATTGTTGTGGATTGTGACGGGCTTTGGTGTGCAAATATATTTACGTCGTGGTCAGGTTAATTACATGTTCTTGATCTTAGTTGTGTTGACGTCCTGTAGAGTAGACACTGGGAGGGGTCTAGTGTAGATAATCGTTTAAGGTAAATCAACGTCCCATACGTGTACGTGGAAACCCAACCGTTATAACATTAGACGAAGTAAATCGCGAGCGTTATAACTATATATATATATATATATATATATATATATATATATATATATATATATTCAGAAAATCAACTTAAGAACGCCTTAGTGTTCTACAAATAAATCGTACTCAAAGATTAGAAATTTCAACATAGAATCAACTGCACTTCATATTAGTTACATGCCAGTATATATTAGGCCTTCATATGTAAACTATGTTTTCACTAGTGTTTGACAGTTATGATTTTGCGGTCTATCATCTAGACTGTTGTAAGTAGTGGAACTTTTATTCAACCTTTTGGAGGATTTGATTCAGTAAATAATACGTTTATGAAATGATCTCTCAAGAAATGACTTGTCAAACGATTCTCTCACAGATTGTACAGTTATCTGGTAAGCTTTATTATAAAACCATCTGAACACAGGTGATGTAAGAACGTCTACTCTACTCCCGAGAGTAAAATAACTATCAGTCTATTAGAAAACTCTTCAACAAAAACGACTCAGAAGTAAATTTTTAAGACCTCTTTTTTATTTAACAATTAATTTACGCTTCAGATGACAAAGGCAGATAGACTAATGTGTAATAACTCGAAAAAGTCACTGAAATATGCTAGGGCTCACATTATCCGACTAAAGCAAGCCCTTAGATTTATCCTACATAAAATAACACAAAAAGGAGTGACCATACCTGTAAACTTTACAAGAATGTGAGGAGTAACACTGGCTTGTCGTGGTTCCTATGCCTAACTGCATTCATCAATTTTATAATGGGTATTGTTACCGCAAAAGATCCGGAAAGTTACGGTTTCACTATACAAGCTCCTTTTCACGATATGAGTGAAAAGATTAACAAATATCATATTAGATCAGAAGAAAATTTGAATGACAAATCACACGCAACTATTTTGGGGTGTTTTAATAGTAGTATTACTAATAATTGTTTTGTTTAGTCCTATATACTTCGTAAAATATGCAATTCTCAGCAACTAGGATTAGTTCTAGTAAGCAGAACAATAAATTTAATAATAATAACAATAATTGAAAACCATAGTTTTTCAGAAAAACCCAAGCTGGCGAACATAAACCACTTTCTTACCAATACCACCGGATTTAAAATGTTAAAGATAAACAATGTTGATACTGACAGATACGTGTGCTGGTCTACTAATTGTCAACTCTGGTGTTAATACGACGAACGAGACTATTTCCATTCGTGTCTTCCATGAAACATTAACTAGAGTAAAAACTCCAATTTCCTAATAGAAAATATATTTAGGTTAATGATCTATATATCTATTAAAATGTTCATAATTAATAAACTGATAAATTGTCAATGAACACAAATAATAGTGAGAATACATTGGAAGCCTACAAAGTAATGAGAAAATGTATTGAAAGTTGACTTTATATTCATACTAAATTCACCTTGAATCGATATTAGTTTATTTCTCACAAGTTGTATTTGGAGATTTCCCATCGCCAACAGATACTCTATCCACCTAGTAATTCTTGGGTGATAGATGCATCACACTCCCTACCATAGTAAAATGACTGGGACAACATTGTGTGGTAACCCAATTTCTATTCCCTTTGGCATTCTCCAGCTAAAAAACCATATTCTGTCCTGAAGTTTCTTTCCAGAACATTAGGAAACCTAATCTCGGAACAATTGAGAACTCATTTAAGTGTTTACTTCAAAATTCATCTGAAAAAAAATCTGCGTTATCTTCCTACTTTAAGAAGCATATTGTTCGCTTCGAAAGCGTTCCAAGAACAGCAGCTACAAAGGTGCTCTGACTAAAAAATCCATACGCAGTTCTACAGGAAATTCTAAGCTTCCAACCTGTGCAGTACAAAAGAATTAGGGGGAATATGATTCAGATGTATAATTTCCTCATGGTCCTCTTCACCATAACAGACCAACGATTCATCCTAGTACTAAATTACACCTAAGAGGATATCCAATTATAAAAAGAATATGAACGAACTCATACAGAAATCTGTGTAAGCTTTCCAGTGGTTAGGATCAGCAAACTGTAGAAGTCCCTACTAGAGACAATAGTAACAGCAACTCCTATAGAGTCACGAGAAAACTCGATGTTTACTCTAATTCCGTAGGGACTAAGAGCGATTACTTTAAGAGCTACTCCACGGCCACTTTCATTATTAATAACTGACTTGTTTTAACTGTCATTTTCAGAAAAATGACAACCATACGTCTTAACTACCAAAAACGCTTTACAACCGCCCGTACGAAGATTATAAGAAAATAATAGTTTGCCAGTTCCGCTATGCTAATTTTTAAAGTTTAACTCGCAGTTTTTATCCCATTTAATTGCAGAACCCTATGAGGAATGGACACGTTTCACAGTGACAATCAATATATTCTCATATATTACATTCAAACTGGTTGAGAACAAATGCCTTTTATCCACTCACTGTAGCAGTTCTTGTCATACTTCTCTCTACTTGATATATTTTCGCTCGCACGACTATGCTCGTTACATGGGTCATTTTCCCCTAATAAAAAGTGGTCAGTCAGTCATTCAGTAACAACGTAGAATTTCACACGTACGTACATCAGTTCGAGTTGCCATACCACATTAGCACACAGATGCAGTGGTCGATTCAAATCCCGTAGTGGTAGAGGAAATAAGAATATAAGCAGTAATCGGGAAGATTAGTGTTTCGAGATGTTAATTAAAGAGTATAATACAGTGAAATAAGTTTGGGAAGAGAAAAAGAGACAAGGAGGAATAAGATCAACATTTGGGAGAACACAAAGAGTGGATGCACCTGCGCCATTGCAAACGATTTTGAGCCATGTCATTCAGCGTCTCTAACCATCGGTTGCTATCATCTCGCGGTCCCCAACCAGGTAGTCTAAACCTACCGACATGACTCAGTCCACTTGTCAGTGACTTCATGGACTTGTGCAATGTTTTGGTCTGGCCGCCCCTAGCTTTCCTCCAACCTACTCCTATATCATCGAACATCGCACGTTGAGGCAGTCGGTCGTGGGACATACGTAACACGTG